GGAAGAATACAATTCACGTAAAATTTTTCGAGTTTTGGAACTAAACTGATCCAGAAAGTTTTGTCTTCGGGTATTCTTAATGTGATTGCATCTTCTCTGCACCATATATATAAATCACACCAATTCCTCTCTGTTATGGCTAACTGCCCTTGAATTTGAAAATAATATTTGTGGCTTTTCGGTAAATAAAGATTATTATCAGCATCCATCCGAAGACCAACAGAATTAGGCTTGCTGAAAAAGTCTGACAAGTCTGCTGAGAATCTGGCTGTATAAGGACATTTTATTTCAAGTAATCCATCTTCGTCTATCAATCCATCTGGCGAAGTACAAAGAAAGGGATATTTAGGATCAATAAAAAGGCCACAACGTCTGATGTTTTTTCCCATGTGCTTTTCCTTGTATTGATTTAAGGCTACTGCTTCGTTAGCCAAGCCATACTTTAATGCTTTAGTTGAAACGTTATCATTATATATGATACGTTTCACTAAAGCAGCACTGAGTGTTGTTGGACGCCTATCAGCAACATCTTTGAAAAAGGATGATGATATTCTTCTTGATCTTTCATGACGCCATCTTTCAGATGATGACTGTCCACGTGTTACGGCCTCAAGAGAATCTTTTTTTGGAACTTCAATTGATATAAAAAAATTTTTAGCTGCCAATTCATATGCTTCATCTGATAGGTCTGGTTTCTCAGGAAAATCACCATAAGAAATATCCCCACCTTGCTGAATATGTCCTGCTTTCCTCATATTTCTCTTTTTCTTCTCAGTGTCAAAAAGTCTACGTCTCTCAAGACGTTTTACATGGCGCTTATTTCTGGAAGCTAAGAATTTCAAAGTTGGAGTCCTGGGGCTACTTCCTGTTACAGCTTTTTGTGCATTTTTTTGCCACTGCTGTGCTGGATTTTGATAGGCCATGACAGCAATACTCGCACGCCTGTTCATGCCACCAGCTTTGGAAAAATCAACTCTTTTTCCACCAGATGTTTTACACAGTTGACTCATGAAGCTTTCAGCAGGATTATTTGTGGCATTCCAAATAAGAGTACTGCTACACGATATCAGTACTCTTCCCACTTCTGCTTCAATAGCTTGCAACATACCCGAGGAAAAAATTTCATTGTATGTGCTGTCCAACTCTGCACCTTTCTTTGCACAAAAAGCACTACAAGCATCATGCTTGCCAAATATATGATGTGGCCCATTTCTCAAGTCAGATACTAATGCATCAATAGCTTCTTGTGTGTGCTGATAATGGCTAGGTAAAGCATGAGCTTTTATAGCTACTCTAGCACCTCTGACTAACAGTGGCATTTTAATTTTCAGCAATTTACGGGCAGCAATTCCTTTAGCCCCGGGGAAGCGGGGAAGCGCGCAGTAGTATTTTGCTGAAGTTTCTCAAGAGCTCTGCGATATCTTCGAACAGCATGGTTAGCACATTCTACTTTGATCACCCGTCCTCCATATGAAACGCTTTCTTTCACTTTGGCCATTGTGTTAGCATCTCCATCTCCAACAAGTCGAGTACAACGTATTTTGTGAACACACTGGAGATAATTCAGACCTTCCACAATGGCACTGCTTTCCATACCTGTAGAAGGCCCATTCCAATTTCGCCAACAAAGGTGCACTTTATTTGGCATCTTGCCATCTTCAATAGCACTGCATATAAGGCACACTTTGTTGCGAATTCCAACAAACAAAATTTTCTGGGTGACCATGCCTATAATAACAGATATGCCACTTGAAGCATTGTAACCATGCCCATAGCTTCTTTTACACCAACCTCCATCAACAATGACAGTTATACAGTGATAACCATCATTATCTTTATCATTGCGAAGTTCTGCCTGCCTTTTCTCCTCTTCTATAGCAGCACTATTCTATAGACACATAGTTTCCTGTGCACATCCCTGTATTATTTTGCCAGTAGTTCGCTCACAAGAAGCAAAGGTCGAGTTGCTCATATACGGAATTTCCATGATGCTAAACTTTTCCTCCTCTTGTGAAAATCCACTGCCAGTAGATAACGCACCTAATACTGCAAGCTGATTTAGGCTGCTTTTCTCCATATCAGAACAAATTGTTGCCATTTCCCCACATAAAATTTTATCACATACATAGTTATATGTAGTGACAAGACCACGTCGAATCACTTTGTTAAAAATAAATGATCCTCCAAATTTACAATTTAGGGAATGTTGCTCTAATGTCCTAGCCTGCACTATTACAAAAGACATATTGCAAATTGTTCTGCCAGATGGTAATGGATTTGCCTTTCGTCGATCTTCCCTTTCGATAATTAAAGGTGAATCAGGACACAGAAATTCATCATTAAGGTTCTCCTGAAGAGGCTCAGACTCCAAGCTAAAATATATATATATACAATATATATACATATATATAATTAATATATATAAATATTACAAATTAGGTTTAAATTTGGCTTATTTGATGACAGCAAAGCACTTGATCTTCCTAAGAGGAGGAGGAATGCTTTCATGGAGGACTTTCTAAGGGAAATGGCTCATATACACGGGGAAAACCATGAAAACGCCCATGCAGGCAGCCCATTCGCAATTAGGTTTAGGAAATTTAGGCAACAGATAGCAAATAAATTAACAATAATAATACACTGGATTACCAGTATATTACTACAAGAAGATGAGTCATCTTCACAACTGCTGCTTCCATGCTCGCAGTGTCATTTGCTCGTGCAATATTAGTCACTACTTTGTGTGCCGGAGGTTTCACATGAAGGGCCTCTACACCTGAGTATAAAATGTTCGTGTTCCAGTAAACACTGAATTCAGAGGGGCAAGAATAACTCTTTCATGGTGGATAACTCAGTTACCAAATGGCTTTCTAAGGCTCTATTCAAGCCGTTGTATAAATGTCATAATTCCCAACTAACAACGCTTTGTAGTCAGACCTTGCTATGTCACAAAAACTAGTTTGGGCATTAAGCTTGAAGTTTTCAACTTTGTGCCGACTTGATATAAGAGTCGGCCAATCAGAGCATATACATAAAACCTATTGAGAGAGAAAGCTGTAGACACATACATGCATGCACAAATTTAGCTTCTCTAATTGGCTATGGCTTAGACCCTCTCTCGCAGGTGTGAATGGAACTCCCACATTTTGTGCCTTATGATTATGCGTCTATGACATTTATACCATCATGTGAACGGAGCCTTAGGATGGCATACTAAGAAGATGCACTGTCTTGTGGGGATAAGCAATTTATACTCCTAAGCCTAAAAAAAAAAAACTTGGAAAAAAAAAGATCACGACTTAAATTTGTTGTCTAATTGCTCTAATTTGAGGCACATTATGAGAGGAAAGCAAAGGTAGTAATCAGAATTATTTAAAAAATTTTATCCTTATATTTTTCTTAAAAATTCTGTAAAATAATAAAATTTGTGGTTTTCCTCAAATAAATATATATGGAAAAAATAACAGCCACATAATCACAGATTTCATTTTGTTATATTTTATTAACAAAATTTAAATTATTAAAAATCTCTTTCATGAAGGGAACATAAAACATCATGAAAACAATGAAAAAGAAGCAATATTTAAAAAAGATAGTAGGCTTATTGATGAGGCTCCCATCAAAAGAATCAAACCCCAAAATATTTTCATTTGCTTCAGTGTCCCGACTGAAAATTTCACTGATTTCAATGAATATATTTTTAAAAAAATCTTTTATTTTCAAGTTCTTTCATGCAAAACGTCCAAATTTGGTACAAATCAAATTCATCCCCCTCTTTTTGATAGCTACAATATTATATTTAACAGTTTTAATAGCTATCAGTATGTAAACAACATAATGTAACACCATAAAAGAAAAACATAAATGATGACATTTTAATTTTGGCATAGAGAAATACATATTTACCCCAAAAGAGAGCTTGTATTTCTACCTTCTACGTCAGAGTCAATAACTGAAATGTCCAGATCAGAACTGAGAAGAAAAGAACCATAATTAGTTTAATTAAGATACAATAACACACCGACCAAGTATTAATTTGAGAGTCAAGCAACAAAAATCAGCATCATATTTTGAAATATTCACTATTTGAAAATATAACGCTGATTTTGGTTGCTTGACTTCTAAATTAATACATAATTAGTTAACCATAATTAAGTAACTGTAATATCATGCACAGCTAATATCTATTTTAAAAATAAACCAACTTACCTCAGGAAAGCCTGGTTTGTCTTAGGAACATTAGCTGTAACTTCTGGCGTAGAAAAGTCAAATTTTTCACTTCCGGACCTAAGAATGAAAGAAATAAACTGCTATAACATATAATAAAAAAAAAAAAAAAAAAAAAAAAAACATGAATAAATAAATAACACATAACAAATTTAAGCATTAAGCTATGTATGACTACCACCCATCTCAGACAGTGCGACAGATATTGCTGTATACTGTTTCGCCATACCCTGTGTGTAGCTATTATATCATGCTGTATAACCACAGTTTAGAAAAATTACAAAATGTGTTATTTATATCTATCTAAAATGGTACATTACTACATGATTTGTAAGAATAAATTAGAGGGCTCTGCGAATGAAATTCCTTCCAATTAAAAAATGTAGGAATAAAGAAAATGCAGGAATTGCAAATGCAGAAATGAAAAAGGGGATTATATTTTTTGTACAGAATCCAGATGACATATTTTTCAACATTTTAGAAATTTCAATATTAATTTTAGGGGCATAAAATATTAGGCCCCTAAAAGCAGAATATAGTTTTTAAATGTTCAGATAATCTTCCTATGAGAAGAATTCCTTTGAGAAGTACACATCTGAACCACAATTAAAAAACATGTACAAGAACAGAGCTGAGGACTTCTGTTTGCAGAAAGTCTGTCACATAACATATGAAAAGTTTCTTATTGGTAGATTTTTGATCAGACGGATATTTTAATGTTATACAGAGAAAGCATTCACTCCCTTTATACTGGAGATAATTCAATTTGGACAATGGCAAAAAGGCTAAGCAAGCCTGAGCGTATTGGTCCCATTCTTGGCACTAGTTTGGTTTACGCTCAAAATACACAGCAGATATTTTCTAATTACCTGCATCCCAATATCAATTCAATTCAGCTTTTGGTGGAATTTAACATTTGTGACATATTTTTCAAAAACTACACTTCACAACATGCATACATGACAAATACACAGAACCATAAATAAACAAGCAATAATATATATTTATATATAAATTTTACTAAATGATCATAAAATGTTCCAACGCTAAAAGAAAGTTTTAACATCCAAGTAAATGACATAATAAAAAAAAGCAAGTTGAACAGCGAGCACATGAATAAATGTGCATACACCTGTTAAAATATACCATAGGTAACTGACAAAGCATTTCGTAGCAAACATATGACTATAAAATTTCCAATAATACATGTAATGATGGTGAATTCAATTTAGATCGCAAGAACATGCTCATACTTTTGAAAAGATTCAATTATTTCAGCAATTCCTTGTGAATTGGAATTTACCCTTTCAATATTTCCCAACAATTTAGTGTGAATGGAGGAATAAATTCTTATAACAGAATTGAACAATTATTAGCATCCCCTCATACACACACATACAAAAAAAAAAAAAAAAAAAAAAAAAAACTTACTTTGTAAAAAAATCATCCGGGCAATGATTCTCCTTTGACACAGATGCAGTTGTATCAATAATTTCTGACCTTCAATAAAAAAAAATACGCATATTTTACTTCGGAATTAACTTACTACGAAATCATAAACACGGGGTAGTCGATATAAAGAATAAATTATTTCTCACCTTTCGAAAACATCCGCTTGTTCGGAATCTTCCACATCTCGGGAATTTAATTTCATATTTATTTCTTGAGCTCGACGTTGTCTCTAAATTCTGGATCTTTTATTAAAACCAGGATGTTTTTTTTCGGTCGTCCTTGATATTTTCGCATATTTTTTGCAAACTGACCACAGTACAAATAAATGTAAACAAAACGAGTGCGGAATAGCAATGCAATAGGGTTGCCGTAAACGTCATTCTGCTGACAGCTGACAATGTTTAGTGAAAACTGTGTGTATAAAGGAATATATGAAACGCTTCTAAATATTATTTAGAAAAAAATATGATTTATAACTGATATCAAAATCAATTACTTCGTGAATTTTTGCAGAAATAAGATTACAATGTTAAATTTTAACTCGTAGCGCCATCTATTGATGGCTTTCCAAACTACACATTAAAATTACGTATTTCAAACTAATTTTTTTAAAATATAATATTTAAGTAAATTTCATTTCAAACCTGATTCTAACATTGTGATTCGAAAACTGACCTATTGCTTTATATTTCTGCCAAATTGCACGCAACATAGTTTCTTAATTAGCGATTCTGCGTGTAAAAAAATTTTTAGTATTGTAATGCTGCTGTAGTAGACCACCTTAACTACGGGCCTGAATTTGCCTGAATGTTGCTATAAAAGTAAGATCTAAAAAATTATCTTAGAAAATTTGGTGAAAAATTAGTAATTCCTCTACATTTTTTATTAATTTTATGTCAGATTTTTTTGTATAAAATTATTTCCCATATAAAAACTTATATGACTTTTTGAAATGTTAAAAGAGATCCTGCTAGAAGTTTATAATGAAATTTGGGAATTAATTATTGTATATGTTAAGTAAATCATGTAGACTACTATATATAAATTTCTTTAATTTAGTTAAGGATTTTTTTATTAGTTTTACTGTTTGTTATGATTGCAGTTTATTAACTAATAATGCTTAAATTGAGCAAGTAGCAAAACTGGAAACAAAATTCATTAGTGTTTGTTGCATATACTATATGTGACATTATTCATTATTTGTAAGGCAGCAAAATTATTATCTTGAAAACAGTGTGCAATTTTTAAATGTGTATGTTAAGTATTTAATTTATTAATTTTTTATGAAACAGTGAATGATATTTTACAAATATCTATTAACTCATCAAATCAGTATGTATTTTTAAGTACTTAAAATATGTAGATTGGCATTTAAAATTGTAAATTAATTTCCTAAAAAGTATTTGCTTTTCTTAAATCTCTGTAAATTTTCAGATGGGGAATATATATTTATTGACCTAAATTTAAAAGTTTCTAAATATGCTGTAAGGAGCTGGAAAACTCAAAGTAATGTAAGTATTAGATTTTTCATTTAACAAATGATTTACAAAATATGTAATGATTTAGAATGTTTAATGTACCAAAAGAATTTTAATTGGTCCAACAATTCTGTTCATAAAATTATAAATTGTTGTCTTAAAGAAAATTTAATTTTTAAAGTAAGTTTCCTAAAATAAAATAGCTGGTGATAAGAAAATATGAAGATATTTATTAAATTACTGAATTTTTTATAATAGTGCTTTTTGTAGTAAATTATTTTCTAGTTCAAGCTTTTATCTCATTCAATTTTGTCATATTAAGACACATCTAAATCTTACATTTGAAATATGATTTACAATGTATATATATAAATTATGCATGTGCTTATTACAAAATATATGTATCAAATGATTTCTTTCAGGGCATTGGAGGTGATGGCCAACCTTTACTAGTTTTGTATATGCGAATCAAGTATTATGTAGATTGTCATCTTTTAATAAGGTATGTATTTTCAGGTAACTCAATTTTAAAACATTGAATTATATAATACAAGAATTCAGTGCCTGAGATTTGGGGGCCCCAACATATGTTTATGCCAGTTTTTTTCTTCATTCCTTCTCTCTTGCAGTTTTGGTTTAGCTACACCATGTATTCCACGGAAAAACTTTTGGTGCCCCTTTCCCCCTTTCCTTTTTCTCATGTCCCCTTTCCTTGATGCCGTAAGCATGTGCTTAATAGTTAATCCAGCCATGTAAGAATGTGATATTTGTAAAATATCATTCACTGTTTCAAAAATATCTGCTTAAAAGTTATTTATAACATCTCATTCAGTTTCAAGAGTGAACCGAATGGCTGGATCAATTGAATTTAATATAGATAGAATCTGGGATAAATCTTTATTACCATCAAAAAGTATGAAAGTACTGTCTGCATAGCGAAACAAAAATTTAGTTTCTCAGACTTTTGAAACTGAATCTGACAATATCCATCCTTTGATATTTTTATAATTCACAATGAATCTGATTTCAGCACTATTGTTTACTGTAAACCATTTCTGTTTGTTTACTTAAACAAACAGAAAACCATGCTAAAGTCATGTCAGCTGGCTAAGCATCTTTTTATTGTAATGTATTCCATGCTGTCAAAGTTTGTTCCTCAGAATCATTGTTTGCTAATGAACTCAATTATTTGAATTCAGTTGCCATTGCTAATGAGTTGCTAATGAGTTCAGTTGCCACCACTGAAGATTTTCTCCCATGGTCATTGATAAAGCCTTTAAAAAATTTTAAGCTTACTGTCAAAGAAGACATTCTGCTACTAGAAGTAATATTGTCTTGCTTCCATTTCATCTTTCTGTCAGTTATAAAATTGCACAGATTCTGCAGTTCATTTTTGAAGTCAATTTCTCACCTATCAATAAAATCCATGGTTCAATTCTTAAAGATTCCATTTCTGACTTAATTTTGGGAGAATTTATAGTGTATTGTGTCAGTTTGGTTTGAGAATTTTGTATTGAGGAATGCAAATTTTTTGTCCGAAAAGGCAAAAATATTAAGTCTTCGATAGCTAATCATAGTTAGAAATTTAATCATAATTTTGACATTGGGTCTGCAAAAATTAAAGCTTCATTAGAAAGCTTCTTCAATAGATGAATTTGATTTTCTCAAAGCTTTTTACACTCACAAAGATTTATCTTTGTGTTAATGACTTTAAGCCCAATCCAGTCCTTCATAACAAAAAGTTTTAAAATTCTATTAACTTAATTTTTCAAGTTTGTTACTAGTTTTACCAACAGATGGCACTACCTTCTTTGCTTTCTGGCAGTAAGTTATAAATATCACTGATGCCCAGACTTGTAGATTATTTTGCTGCTGATGAAGAAGGACCTGAACCTGTTTGCCCTTAAAATTGATTGAGATCTTGACCATATCTTTGGCAAACACAAGATTGTTGCTTTGCTAATTTTAAATTATTTGTATCAGATTAATTATTAAATATTTATTTTATAAATTTAATTGTCTCAAATTTAGCAATATTAATTGGGCGCACGACACATAAATATTTATTAAGAGATCATAAATATTTATAAAGGGAGAGTGTGGTCTATTTTGTGATAATTTCAATGCAAGTGTTTATAATTCTCATTAGAAGGCTAATTATGTTGTAAATGGATCAGTTTCTAGTTTTTGACTTTTTCAATTTAATTTAAAAATTTCTCTTTTAATATTTAACTTCCTTTCTTAGTTTCCATTTCCCTTTTAAAAATTTGTGCATGGCAATTAAATTTAAAGTTTTTAATAAAATTTTGTTTGCTTATTTTTTTTAATTATATCTGAAGGGCATTTAATGTTTGCAAGGTCACCTTCCTCTCTATATATTTGCTAGACTTGCTTAATTTTTCAGACCTGTAAGCATATATCAAGACCATTGCTAGACTTTTTGTTGCCCAAAGGGGCAGAATCTTTCATTATTAAACTTTTATTTATCTAGCATAGTTTAAGGATTTATTACAGATGTTGTCTGTATATAATTCAGCAGGTAAAGCATTTTTAAATGTTAGAAAAATGGTGAAGTTTTCGTGCTTTTTGATGTAAAATGTTTGTTGCAGAAGTGAAGTTAAAAATTTTAATATTGGTGAAAAAGTATTTAAAATATTACTTTATGCAATGTTATGTAATAATATTTTGCAAGAAGGATTCTAAATTATGTTTTGTGCATGTTTGTTATTTTAGTGAAAAAGTGGTTCGTCATCATTATTACCTGCAGCTCAGGGAAAATGTTAAAAATTATTGCCAAGCTGTAAGTGAAGAAAAGTCATTTTTATTGGCAGCACTGGCCCTTCAAGCAGATCTGGGAAATTACGATGAAGAAAAACATAAAAATCGATATTTTGAAATCAGTAACTACTTTCCTTCATGGGTAATTGATTTTTTTTTTTTTTTTTTTTTTTTTTTTTTTGTTCTTGTTTTCTATATCAAAACCTTGTTTTATGTCTTATAAAATACCTTATTTTCAATGTTTAACTTTATTTTCTTTTACATGTTCCATGCATTAGGAGAATTTTAATAATTTTTTTTTAGTTCTTTGCTTTGTGTTTCACTCGATTAGTTTTGCATTTCACACCATACTACTTGATTTGAGTAGTAATAGAATTTGAATTTGGTGCTAATAATTATATACAGTAAAATTTTGGTAATCCATGCTGCTTAATCTGAAAATGCCTGTAATTCGTGTTAATTTTTAGATGTAAATCATAGCTGCCAACTTTTCCAGTTTTTCTTACATCTACTAGTAGTGTTAATAATATGGCTGCACATCTGTGGAATGTAATGGCTGAATTGCTACACATATTAAATTTAGGAAAAATCTTACTACAGGGATTTATGTGAACAATGTATTTTTTGTGTTTATCAATTTTCTCCATCATTTAGAAGCATAAAAATTATTTTGAAAGTAATTCACTCCCTCCATTTTTAACACAAGTATTCTGATGCATTTTTATGGCATTTTGTACATCCTCAAAACACTTCCTTCTCATTTATCCACATTCTCTTCAGTACATTTACCCTCTTATACTGTCTTTATTTCCTTTCTATTTAGTTGCTTTTAAAAATGTAGCTTTGCATTTTATAAATTTTAATTAAATATTTCTTAAAGTATGAATATGGTTCATTAGTTGAGAATGTGTGAACAAATTCTCTTAATCTAGATAATCCTTGGTACCAAGGTATGCACATTATGGGTGTTCTTTTTTATAATACTAAGTTAATGGATAATTCAACATCTCTATTTATCAGTGGATTCCAATATTTATGATCCATGAAGCAGTGTTTGTTTTACTGTAGGCTAAGTGCCAAATCAAAAGGTTTTTAAAATTATGTGTTCTTTGTTATGCTATGACATTGTTTTTAATATTGTAGGTTTTGCATATTTCATTTTCTCATCCTGTCTAATTCAGGGTTGAAAATGCTTACAAGTCATGCCACTGCATGTAAGCTATTATCTGAGTATTCAAATAAGGCACTGTAATGAAGCAAAACTGTTATTTTTTGAGAAAATACAATCTTTTATTCCTAATGGTCCCATGGAAATGGTTTTCTAGACCTTTACACGAATTACTGTTCATTTTCTGTCCATGAGCATATAATACTCATGATATGTAATGCAGTGGACAGTCTACCAGAATGCAGTTTTTAATCACATGTATGTTACTGTCTCAAATTATCATTGAAATATTAAACACAGCTAACTATTTCTTTACAACATGCATACTGCAATGTTTCAAGTCTTGTGTAATGACTTTTCACAAAGTTAACTCAATATTCATCATATCTATCACTACAGAAACATTTTCCTTAACCTCTAGGGAGGAATGTGGCTATTTCTATTTTCTATGGCCAAGCACTGAAATGTTATGGCTATTCAGTGGAGTAGATTTAAATATGTGTAATGCAAATAATTTTTACTAGACCCACTGTTAGGTTTTTAACTTTTACAAAACCCACTGTGAGTTTTTTTATCTTTCTTTAGGAAAGAGAAATAGAGGCAGTCTTAAAAATTTTTAGTCAGCTCTTGTATGGATAAATATGGCTGAATCCTGTTTTTTTTTTTTTTTTTTTTGTATTTAGATAATTGAAAAGCTGGGTGAAGATTTCATCATTCGGAACATTCCTGCTTTGCATAAAGACAATGCTGGACTGAGTCGAGGTGAAGCTCAAGTAGGTTACATTAAAGAAGCCTCAGATGTAACTGCTCCTCACAACTTACATTTTTACAAGATGCGTAGAAAAAAAGGAAAGCTGTGGAGTGATGTGTGGCTTGGAATTAGAGACAGTGGTATTCACATTTATGAGGTAAAGCATCATTTATGTTATGTATTTTTAGATTTTAATTTAAAAAGGGGGCTGAGGGCTTTTATAAATTAGTATGTAAATAACATGTTTTTTTTTAAATTTCATATTTTATGAAACCATTCTGTTTAAAATGAATAGTATATATTTTTGTTCTTGATAGATTTAAAACGTAGTAACATTTTTTGAATGATTAGTATGTGTATTGTGTGAAAATATTTGCTGTTGTATGTGAAATTCTGTTTAAAATACTCATTAAATGCGTCTTTCTTTTGTTATGTATTTTTTTAGAAAGTTTTATTTTTTTCCATTTTTAGCAGCAGGAACATGAAAAGACAAAGTCATTGCTTTCAACATTTTTGTGGTGCGACATTGCTAAGCTTCACTTTGAGGTATCTTGCAATTTTTTTTTCTATTTTTAATTTTTTAATGATAAATCAGAATAATTTCATTAAGGTTATTTAGATATTTCATAAGCTAAAGTGTCTATGAATAACTCAATACATATTGAAATGCTATGTGGTAAATAATGGTAATTATTTCCTGAATATCTAATTATTTTCATTATTTGGATAGTACGTTATGTAAAATGAATTTGCTATTTTGCCATTTCTTAATTTGAATTCGTAGATGCCGCTTTTACTTCATAGCTGTTGTAAACTTATCTGATATTGTATTCTATTGTGAGATTTGTTATTTGGTTTTATATGCTTGAAAATTAAAAATTTTTCTAATGGGGTACCTCCCATTAAAAAAAAAATAAAAATTTTCAAGAAGGAGAGAGATGATTATCTTAAAAAAATCTGTAAACGCTTTCAGAAAAAGAAATTTGAAATACTCTCAGAAGGCAGTCCTGAGTATCGAAGATTCACTTATTTTGTTCAAACTGAGGAATTATCAAAGCATTTGCTTTGGATTTGTCGAACAACCCATCATTTTCATATGGCTAATCAAAACAGAGTTGCAGATTTGAAAAAACTAGAATTGGATGGTAAGAACTTTATGAAATATTTTTATTTTATGTAGTTATACCTATTTTCCTATTGGCTTCAATAATTATAAAGTGGAGTTTATATTCCTGGAACTAAAATTCCTGTATGAACTTCTGTTATAATCTTAATGGTTCCTGTTAGGGAAACTAATAAGCATAGAGGCTACATGAAATAGCAAGTTTTGAAAGTTCTTGAGTTGAATATTACTCTTTGCATGACTTGCAATATTTCTATTGTCATTAGTAAGTTGTTAAATTATAATACGTGGATTATTATTTTGTGTAAGTTGCAATATAGTAATGTAATACTTAATTATTGGCTGAAAATTTAACAGATTAAATTTAATTCATTATTAATAATTAAAGTTTTCTATGTTTTGTTTCATCCAAATTTTGAGGGAGAGAATCCCTAGCAGATAGAATTAGAGGGGCACATATCCCTCTTTTTCTGATGTGGACCACTTGTTCTCACCAGTGGATAAGGTACTGCTGGAGTCTTTGCCTAGCTAGTTGTTTTTCATAATTTTCTTCGTGTGTAATGTGAATACAGATGGCCTTCCTTTAAAAAATCCTCTTTGAAAGTATCTTTTATTTAGTCCTCATATGCTTTGTCATAATCAACTAACTTTGCCTCCTAACCATGAGTCCAAGGAAGATGAATTTGAAATACATGTAAAATTTATGTCGAGATTCCATCGCTCCCCCAAAAAAGCAATTATAATTTTCTGTTACATTTTCTTATCATGAAAAGTTAGTATTTATATAGTACAAAGTCTGTAATCCGGACTTGTCGGGACTTTGGCGATTCCGGATTATAGATCATCAATTTAAATCTGGTAAGATGGCATGCAGAAATTATACAATTAAAAATATGAAACCGTAATTTATGAAATAAAGAGCAGTTACGATCTAAAGGGTATCAAAATTTACAAAAAAAAAAAAAAAAAAAAAAAAAAAAAAAAAAAAGCTTAATATTTATTTGTTTACTTTATTAAAACATTTCTTTCAAGTGTAAGTTGTTTAAGTTGCTTTCGTTTTTTGTACTAATACTTTCCTCTTTAATTCTATTAACAGACATAATTTCTTGTTTCAGTTATAAAGTTCCACTGTTCAAGTCCTGTAATTGCTGTGTCGAGAATTCCAACTAACGTGTCAATCAAAATTTTTTTGTTTTCATTAACCTCTCTGTCACTTTCTTCACTATCACTGTAATATCTGAAAACCTTCAAATTCATGGCTATCATCTTCATTGTCCTCACCATGAAATATGGTAGCTGGCCATAACTTATGTCAAGCATTTTTTAACGTACCTGGAGACACATTCTCCCACGATCTTGCGATGCTCCACACAGCAGATTTTATGCTAAAAAATTTCAAAAAGTCTTGAATAGTCTTGCTATTGTTCAAGAAATTTTACATAGAATTTAAAAATGTTACTTTATATTTGCATTTCAGTGTGTGCACAGTTCCCATATTCGTAGGCTGAATGATAGACGTACAATTTGGAGAGTAGAATAATATGGATACATTATCTGTCACTAAAACTTTAAGTGAAGTATGCGCCGAACAGGTGTCAACAGTCAGGACTATTTTTGAGTCATCAGGTTGAACCAACCGAATTCAAATGTCGCGAAGCCTCGGGTATCAAATGATTTTCAAACCAATCATTCATCAACGCTTGTGTCATCCATGCTCTTTTATTTGCTCTTTTATTTGCATGATTTTATTTGCGACAGGGAAAATCATTACTCCTTTAAATGCTCGAGGTTGTGCATGCTTTCTGATTATAAAAAGGTTGCACTTGTGCGTTCCTGCAGCATTTGCACACGCTAAAATTGCTAGTCTCGCTTTGAAATCTTTGACACCAGTTGGAGCCTTTTCTGTAGAGGTTGCCGAGGTATTTCGCATTGCATATTGCCAGAAAAGACCAGTTTCATCAGCGTTGTAAATTTGTTCTGGAGATAATTGTTCACTAGTAATGAGTTCAATGAATTCATCTGCAAATTGTTCAGCAGCTTCAGTATCAGCTGAGGCCTTTTTCACCTGAAATTTTTAATTGTCTTATACCATGGCGATTTTGAAACTTGGTTAACCAACCTGTCGAATATGTGCACTCAGTGTTTAAGTTCATTTCTTCATGAAATAGTTTGGCTTGAGCCATTAGCATTGGACCCGTCAATGGCACACCCTCACTGCGACGCTGTCTACCCATTCAATCATCACTTTGTCATGATCGTCACTTTTAGCATAATGAACCCTTTTCCTGTTATTATTCATTGCAAGTGGGATGTTGGAATCTACAAAAAGTTCCCTTTTCTTTTTGCTTATGTCATATACAGCTGACTTTCCAATATCATACTCCTCGCATAATTTTGAGATGGATATGCCTTTATCCATTTTTTGCAGCAATTCCACTTTTTGTTTGATGGACGTCGAAACATGCCTTGTAGATCCTTTGGCAGCTCTGACATAATCAAAAGTTCAAGCTTAATTTTTATAAAATTGCTCTAACAGTCTGCAAAAAATAATAAGCCGGATCCAGTTAGAAGATTACGGAACAGTGCATTCTGCAACATTTAACTGAAATGCCTTAGAATCATTAAAGGTAATTTTAGCGTAGCTTATACAGTCCGTTATACATTAAACATGCATGTGTAAATGCATTACGTGCATGCATAAAGCATACAAAAAACAGTTTGTGGCTTTGAGGTCCGGATTATAGATCATTCCGGATAATGGATGTCCGGATTACGGACTTTGTACTGTATTGCATTTATACTACATATGCAGTTAACTACCAATTAAGTAGACAAATTGATTGGGTCTTCTGTAAAAAAAGAGTTTAATTTTTAATTGCAGAACAGTGGAAAATTACTATCACAAACCAAAAGAAAAGAAAAAGGAGTAATAACCATATGGGATGATAGCAGTAATTACAAAAGATGTCACAGTGGTATATGAGAGTTATTTTTATATACAACAATACCTATTAATTGTATATAAACATTTTTTAATCATCCATTAAAACTAATATTAATAAACTAATATTTGTTTTGTTTGCCTGCTGTTGAAATATAAGAGAAGTATAAGCAAAAACATTGTTTGCTATTTTTTGAATTGTGTTTTTGTTTTGAATGTTGATTTAATTTTTATACTGAAATAAATTTATTTTCCAAACCAAACTGCCTACATTAAATTTCATTAGGATCCAAGTAGATACAACATGTATTCTGCCCACATGGATCGTTATGTATCCCAAGTGAATATAAAGAATATAAATAAGTTATGGTCTAAAACATAGGTATAATATTATGGTTTACAAATATGTTACATGACATTAGGGAACATATACACAGGGCTCGTACGTCCTTAAGAGTCCTTAATTTTTTTCAATTCGATTTTTGGTCTTTAAAAGTCCTTAATTTTGGCCAAAATCAGTAGAAGGTCCTTAATTTTAATAATCTGAAATTTCTCTCTGTTTTTACGACTGCCATTTTGAGTGTGAATTAGCATTTTGGAGGAATATTTTTGGCAATTCACTGATGTATATGGTTATCTTTTGAATGGGTTATAATTTGTTTCTATTTCTAATATAAATGATGGAATACTCGAGTTTCTAAGCAAGAAGTGAAACATAAGCATTTCGAAATTCATTTTTTCTAATAAAGAGTTATTAAACAAGTTTTCGCTTTTGGGGTTGTGAATTCTTTTATTAAATGGTTCTAAATTTGACAACTTGTCAACATTTTGGCGATTTTAAGATCAGTTTCTATTGAAAAATTTTAATTCCGAGATCTGAGAAATTTTCAGAGATTTTTTTAAAACATCATAACATTGATAAATTTCATTAAAATAATGGTAATATATTAGAATTATATTTAAAAAATAACATTAAAATAAAACATTTTTATTTTTTGCTGTCATATTATAAAGCTTCATTTTGGCAACTTGTTATACGATATTTTAAATCTGAAAAATAAACAAGGTATATAGCTATAAAGCATAATTTACGAAACAGCTCTTTGTAAAAGCAAAATTAGCCATGTAATTAATTAAAATGTCTTCTTTTTAATTTTTTCATAGTAAGCATTGTTCCTATGTAATTGTCTCAGATTACATCATCCAACACCCATCAAGTAACCATCAACACCATCAAGTAAAACTTTTCTTTGCATCTACTGAGACTTGTACATAAAATAACTTATCACCTCTGGTGCTTTAATGGCTTATTGGAACCTTAAAGTATATTAACTGGTTACAACCCCTAGAACTCTACACGAAGCTTATGACATTAACTGCATCATAGCAGAGCCTCACTAACTTTCAACACTTGCCAACTGTGCCTACATCAGGCCTTTCAGGTTTGTTCCAATCAGCAGGTCTCTCTATAGATAAGCCGCAGAGGGTCAACATTCAGCCTTTTGTTATGAATTGTGCTGATTATGATCTCACTTCTCATTTTAACCTATGCCGTTTGACATAAAATCTTCCTATTATTTGCTAAACCTCTAGACTTACCAAGTATGTGACAAAATAAGATGCATAAAGCTAACTATTAGTAAAACGTAAATGTCTCTTATCTTCTTTTAAATATGTCCAACTATTATAAGTGTAAAATATTTAATGCTACTTGAGAAAACTGCATGAAGTTTATTTTATTCTCAAAACTTATTAATAATTATGTTAATTAATTCATGTTTAGTAATAATGCATACTACTTAGGGATCTATTTTATTTTAGAGTGGTATTATAAAAGTGAAATTCAGGCATAGAATAATATTTTAATTGAATTTATTCAGTTCCCATTGCTCATAGGTCCTTAATTTTTTTCATTAATGGTCCTTAAAAGTACTTAATTTCCGTGGCAGAAATGTGTATGAACCCTGTATATATGTTAATAAAATAATAATAATAATAATAATAATAATAATAGCAGCCGAAACAATAACTTTTTATTATTATTTAGTTTTAAAATGTGGTTTGCTCTCAGTGTGTTAAAACTAAAACTAAATTGTTAAAACTTTTTTTTTTTAAATAAAATATAGTATGGTTTATTCTTTCTTGCAATTTTTCCAACTGCTGTCAAATTAATCATAATTTTTAGTTAGCCATGGAAGTTGTCCCGAGTATTACCTTAGTTAATCAAAAGTCTACTGTATATGGTTTTTTACTTAAAATGTAGAATGAAATTAATAAGCAATTTTTTTAATGCTTTCCTTCCCCAGATATATTTTATAGATTAAGAACTAAATAAGAAATGAAATGACTAATGAAATATATGTTTTATAATTAAAATGCATATTATTAAATGATCAAAATCTGAGGAATGTAATTCCTTTGTTTAATTTCAAAATCATATATATCAGTTGGAATTAACATTTAATAAAGTATGCACATTTTAACTTGATAAATTACTGAATATATTTAGTGATTTCCTATATATAGTTTAGATCAGAAAGTTTCCTGTGTCTCAGTTATGCTAGAAAGTTTCCTATTTCTCACGGCTGTCTATAATTTCCTGGAAGTGTAATAATGTAATCCATAATCAATTACTTTTGGTATAATAAACCATAGTCTTCTTAATTTAATGCAATTCACCATCTTTTACTGTGTCATTGGAAAATATCAAGCTCCCCGTATGTTATTTGAGCATGTGAATTCCAAATATTAATTGATATTTAAAATCATTGAGGCATTCTTTATGTGAATTAGATTATGAAATTATCACTTTGTAGTGTATGGTTTATAACTATAAAAAGAGTATTTTTTTAATAACTTATAAATAAATCTGAAATTGAATGTTTTATAATTTTTGAAAATTTTGATTTATTTATTATCAGTTTTATTTACCACATTAATTTATAGATCACTGTATATATTGTAGGAGGGAAATCTTACAGAGAAGCATATATATATACAGACAAAATAGACCAGGCTTGGGAAAAGAAGCAAAATACCATGCAGAAAAATAAGTACAAATCTAACATTGAAAACAGCATCGTTAATTTTAATGGGAACAAGGAAAATACAACTACAGAAAAGGACTTGAAACCCATTGTGATGAAAATGTCTGGAATGCCTTGGAATAATACCGAGTCTTTAGAATGTAAGTAAAATAATTGATTTTTTTTATTTTTTTAAAAAACTGGTTTCATATTTATGTATTTCAGTACCTTGCAAAGAAAAACAAATATATTTAATTATTTAATAAGACTTTGCAGATTTAAGGAAAGTGATAAAACTTTCAATATTGTATTAGCTAGTTTTTAAAACAACTATGCTTTTAGAAGTTCTAAAAATGGATTTGTCTATTTTTTACAAATAATATTTTGAATAAATTAATATATTTTAATTGTTAATGGGATTTTTTTAATAATTATAACTTTTGCTCCTTGTTATTTAGGTTACTTGTACGGATAATGCACAATTATATTTTATGCGTTTAAATCTTTATATCTTTTAATTTCCGTTAATAATAAAAACCATTGAATAAGAATAATTTTGTCATTAATTTTATTTTTAGTGAGATGGATTAAAGTTTTTTTCATTTGACCTTGTATGAAAGTAATAATTGAGTATATACAGTATATGACTATACAGAATAATTAATGCTTCACTTTCTTGTATATATATATGCTTCACTTTCCATAAATTTCATCTTAACAGACATACAACTGTATCTAGTGGAAACAAAAAATACTGAATATTTAATCAATATGACTTTTAGTCATGGGATATACTTGGCTACAGAGTGAATTAAATGCCTATTCATATATGACATCCCGGTGGTGGGATGTTTGCTGGCGATGCAAATATGATAGGCTCGTCCTGACCCGGTTAAACATTAAACCATGTTTTTATACTAATCGTACTTGAATAAGTATATGAAATTAATTTTAATTGTGGTAACACTTTTGAAGCCAGTTTGTGTTTAATGTTTTTTAGCTGTCAGTATTAGTGTTTTAATACAATTCTGTTTTCCATATAAAGATATATTTTACTGAAATTTGTGTATTGTATAAAAGCTGAAGATTTCATATGTTAAATATTTCTCTGATAATAAATTCCTTAATGACTTTAAATTAGGTTTATTGTATGAAACAGTCAATATAAATATGCTGGTGGACAAATGCTAAGGAACTGATGATTTTAGCAGCAATGCCAACCACAAAATGGAATGCAGGAAAATGTGGGAATTAGCATAAGTGCGAAATACAGTAAGACGTGCTGTGTGTGTGTGCAAACTTTGGATTGTCGATGTTGTTCATCACGTGATGCGATGATAAAAGATTTGATGTGTAGTTCAAAAATAAAATTTAATGGAAAAGATTCAATTGATAAACTTGCAATTTTTGGTATGTCTTCCTGACATCACTTAACTGATATTATGCATGACCATATTATTGGCAACATTGAAGAAGGGTGAAAAAAACAAATGTTGCTAGGGATTTTGACGTCAGGTACAGTGTTGTTTCAAGGCTTTGGAAATAATTTCAAACAAATGAAATGCGTAGCAAATATCAAGGGGGAGGTTGTGTTCACAATGCAACATCGCAAATAGACATGTAGTGCTATCGACGTAAAGGAACTGGCACAACACAGCTATTGAGGTAGCAAATCAGTTCCTTGCTGCTACTGTCAAATGAATCTTCTGAAAAACTATAGCCAGTTGTTTGCATCAAGGAGGACTATACGCTCGCTGTTATTTCGTGTGCATTTCATTGCTCAGACAGCAACATTCCGCCAGTTTGCAATGGTATCGTGAACATCGTATTTGGACTCGATAGAACTGGGTTTGTGTACTACTCTTAAATGAAAGTAGGTTCAGTCTGTTATTAAATTACAGATGGTAACTGATGTGGCGTGATAGTGGTACTGCTTATCGTCCAGAAAATATTCAGGAAAGCACCAGTATTCAAGATGCAGCATCATGGTATGAGCTATTGCTATGATCAGTGGCCGTGCCCTCGTACACATGGTTGCATCTAGGACTATAACTAATTCAATGGTACATTAATGATACTCTGATGCCTCATGTTTGCATGATCTGTGGTGCTGTCGATGATAAATTTCTTTTCATGAATGATAATGCAATATGTTTGGAACAGTCGCTGTCCAGCAGTATCTAGAGAGCAATGATATTCAAGGCCTTGTATGGCTATCACATTCTCCAGATCTAAATCCCATTGAAAATGTTTGTGGTGCTTTGGGGAGGAGTCTTGCTGATTGACAGTTCTCTCCAATAAACAAGGACACCCTCATATGTGCAAGTCAGATGAATGGGATAAATTACTACAACAGATGTTGGATAATGTTCTGCAAAGTATGACATGATGTGTGGAATCTTAAATTGCCCTGCATGGTGCATAGACTCCAACTACTACGGATTCTCCGTAGTTTCTACGGAAATTCATGAAAAACTACGAGCTACGAAAAGTATGGAAAAAACTACGGATTTTACAGGAACAAGAGCAGGAGAACCAGTACGCAAAACGGAACCAACTAATTCATCCGATGATTGGCTGAATACTCGTGTTATCATATATCACGTGTTGAGTGCGTTCCTAGTTTTGAAGAATTAGCCAATCGTAGATCAGTAACTCCAACCGTTAACGACTTATCAATAGTTCCACCCAATTGTCTGTCTCCCAGGTTCCTCGCTGATGCGTGTTTAGGCTGCATTCGGCTGCATTGTGTAGTTTACGGCGAGAGCTTAGCGTGTGTCTTGTGAACTGTGAATCAGGTGAAAGATTTTTAATCATAATGCTGCCTCGAACGAAGAAGCCAAAATTATCAAAGCAGAAGTTTAAAGATTCATATTCTTCAGAATTTCCATGCATTAAAGCGTCCGAAATTTCTGTGAATCACGCACACTGCAGTGTATGCAACAAAGACTTCTCAGTTGCTCATGGCGGAAAAGATGACTGTAAACGGCATGTGTTTTCTCAAAAGCATATAGAACTTGGCACCGTAAAATCTAAAGAAATAACAAATTTCTTAATAAAAGATGATGAAACAGATCCTATAAAAGCCGAATGCTATTTTGTTCGTTTTTTAATTGAACATAATCTACCGCTTTCTGTTTCGGATCATTCCAAAGAGCTTTTCAAAGCAATGTTTCCGGATTCTGCCATAGCAAAAAAATTTAGCTGCGGTCATACCAAAACTGCTGCTATTGTGAAAACGCTTGCAGAAAATACTGTTGCTGATATTATAAAATCAGTGTGCAGTACATCATTTTCTCTAAGTACTGATGGAAGTAATGATAACAATGATAACAAACTGTACCCATTGGTTATAACATACTACAGTAAAGAAAAGGGAGTGATAATTACTTCATTGATTTCTATTTTAGAATGCACGAATAATACAGGAGAAGGTATTTTTAATTGTATAAATGAAAACTTTAAAAACAAAGTTTAGTTTAGAATGGAAAAATTGCTTATCATTTTCTTCAGATAATGCTAGTAATATGATTGGAAAGTTTAAAGGTGTAGCATCATTTATCAAAATGCATCAACCAAGTATAATCACCCGAGGTTGTCCGTGCCACCTCTTGCATATAGCTGCAAAAAAAAAGCTACTGAAAAATTAATTGGCTCAGAAATTGAAATGTTGATAATAGATATATATTTTTACTTGGAGAAAAGTTCGAAACGGAAGCATAGCTTCAAAGTTGCTCAACAAATTTTGGGACAGAATGCAAAATCTCTCATAAAATTTTGAAATATTGCAGTACGAGATGGTTGTCTCTTTTAGAATCTATAACAAGGATTTTGGAACAGTGGGTGGGATGCTGTGATAAATTTTTTTGGAGATAAACCAGATAACAGTGAGAATGAAGGAAAGAGATTGCAAAACATTAAAAAAAATTTTACAGTCACCGACCACCAAATTGTACTTGTTATTTTTGAAAAATACTTTGCCTTTGTTTATAACAGTAAATATTAATTTGCAACAACAAGCTCCTTATATACATAAATTGAGAAGAGAACTTTTTGAACTTTTAATGAATTTATTTGTTAGATTCGTAAAACCATCAGTAATTTCTAAAGAAAATGAAGATGTTACTCTAACGTCTATTCCATTTCAGAAGTATAGTAAACAAAAAGAAAATGAAAATTTAGTGATTGGTGCGGAAAAAAAGGAAACAAGACTATATTTAAAAAATGCCAAGTTGAATGAAAGTGAAGTGAAATCATTTTTCAATTCTGTGCGAGCTTTTTTTGTAACTGCATGTTCATATATAATTGATAAATTTCCACTGAGTGATCCATTTCTAAAACATGCTGAAGTTGCTGACATCAACTTGAGAACTGAAGTCTCATTTTCATCTGTTCTTTACTTGATGAATACTTTTCCATCCATTATTGATGAAAAATGTCTTAATCAAGTAGAAATTGAATTTTCCATGTATCAAGTAGATGATTTGAAAGAAATTGTAGATTTGCGTATTGATATAGCATGGGGAGAAATTGCCAAATTAAAAAATATGAATGGGTGTATTAAATACAAAGTATTGCCTTCTGTAATGCTTGCTGTCTTAATAATACCTCATTCAAATGCAGCTTGCGAAAGAATTTTTTCTATTGTTAAAAAAAAATCAGACGGAATTTCGACCAAATTTAGGTCTTAAAACTCTTGAAGCAGTTTTGATTGAAAAAATAAATATGCAGGCAAATGAAGAACTGTGTTATAAAAAAACATTCTCAAAATCAGAACTTAAGCTTGCTAAGCATGCTACATATAAATCTTTGCATTCATAAATTATGCGTATTTTGTTTAATACTTATATGTATCATTCTTGGTTATTTAAATTTTATTTCCCTGTAGAAATCATATCCAGAATAAAGATATGATTTATAGCTTCTGATTTTTTCTATGATTAGTAGTGATTTGAAGTACTTTTTATTAGTGAATGCTTGAGGAGTTAAAAGAAAATTTCTAATTAAATGTGCATATAATTTACAAGGTATATTTTTAATTATTCAGTTTTATATGTATATGGATTTTAAATGTAATAAAATTGATTACAATTAATTATTAATTTAAAATTAATGAATGGTTAATTACAACATACGCTACGCGCACATTTTCAAAGTTGTAAAAATGTCGTTCGCGCGTTGACTACTGACAAGGTTTGCTGAAGGTTGGAGTCTATGCATGGTGATCATATCCCTAACTGACATCTTACAACAGAATGCCTGTGGACAGTAACTGCATTTTTTTCACTTTTATGTATTCAGCACAATATGACCATTTTACTCCTTGAACACTTTTCAAAGCCTTCTAGATTTCAGAGCACAATAAATTGTTATGTCCTAGTAATCTGGCATCATTTTATTTCTCTTGTCATCCAGACACACTTACTTTTTAATGTGCTATATAGCTGTTTATGATCCATCCTTAGCAATTCTCCATCGGTATATATGAAAGCAAAGATGCTGCTTGTAAAATTAGAACCAGAATTTTAAGTATTATTTTATCTAATAGAAATATTAAACACATTTAATTTCTTTTTAGCTGGAAGAGGTAGTGGCCAATCACTACAGCACCATTCGATGGAAGTACTACCATTAACTAATGGCTGCAAATTCTCATCTGATATTAAATATAAAAGTCAGAGCATTTCATGCTTTTCTGATCGCTCTTTAGCACCATATTCAATGACAGGTAAGGAGAAAGAATAACATTGAAATTATTCAGTTTTTTCTTTCTATTATAAACTTTATAAACAAATGATACATGAAATGCTTAAAATAACAGACATTTCTGTAATTTTTATTGTTATTAATGATGCATGAATATTTTATTTTCTTGAAATTTTCTGTTTTTAAAAATAGAACTTCTTCCTTAATTTTCTGTAAATGAATTTTAGATTATTCTAACCTATAAGGATTTTTCTAAAAATGAAATTAAAGTTTTCATAGTTGAGTAATAAATCATGTAATATTTTTTATGTTTATTGCTTACTTAATATTTCAGACTTTGTGGTTTGACAGAAATATGTGTTAATGGATAACGTGGTACAAAGTTATTCATACTATAAATATGTGTGATCTATTTCTTGTAAGAAATTCGTATATACCAAATGAATGGAGTGGTATAGAGTTATTCATAATGTAAATATGCATGATATGTTTCTTAATTAAAATCATAGTTTAAAATTTGCAAAATCTATGATTCTTAATTCACAAGAGACTGGTGATGAAATCCCAGGTGTTAAAACTTTTGAATTTTACCTTAAATATTATTTGGCATTCATAATTTTATTGAGTTAAAAGTAATTATTGCTATTTAAAACAAAGAAAACTCCTTAGTTAGAGTTTATGGACTCAGTTATTTAAAATAAGCCAAGTTCTTTTTCTTTTTCATGTAATTTTATGAAACAATGAGAACATGAAATATGAAGCTCATAAATGTATGTTCAGTGACAATTTTTTTTTTAAGAATTATGTTCAGAATTCTTTCTTACTTCCTGCAGATACAAGGAAAAAACAGTTTAATATTATGGTAATTTTTAAGTTAGATTCTGTAATTATTCTAAGCTCTTATCCCTTGCAGACACATAGGAGGAGATGATACATTTTGTTAAGCTCTCCTTGTGCCTATTTTCCTATCATTTTTTACAGAATTTTATTTTACCATATTTGCTTTTGTAATTTTAGTTAAGTTTACTTTTGTAATTTTTGCTTTTTAAGTAAACTGTTGGTCATGTTTTGAAATATGAACTGCATTTTCTATACTGACAAAATTGAGTTAATTAGTGATACAATTAATGATTTAATTTGCAACTGAAGAGTAGGTTTAGAGTATAAAATGGCAAATTGCATCATTCACTTTAGTAGTATTTAACCATCTGCAGTATCTTACCATACATGGCTAAAGTGCTGAATGTTGCTGTGGCATAGTAGAACTAAAGAATTTGATGCGTGTTAAATATACATATGCAGGCCCAGTGTAGTTTTCTTTTCTATTTAATTACACACAGTCATTTATGATTTTTTATTAGTAATTTTTAATGTATACATATAGAAGTATGAAAATATTGTAGCTTGGAGAATGATTATATGTGGAACTGGAATATATCAGTTTTAATTTTTTTCGCATTTAAAAGGCAGTATTTTGCAAATAAACATGCTTGTAACTGTTAACATAGAAACATTCTTTAACTTTTTTACATTAATTTTAATTTAGGAAAATATTTGACATTCTTCATATTGAAAGATTTTTCATAATAAAAAATTTTCATTCACCTAAACCATAACATTAATTTTTCATTAATTAATTCACAATATTTTTATATTCAAAATATGCAACAGTTTTATGCATTGAGAAATAATTTATTAATTCTTCTTTTTCACAGCTGCCACCAACAACTCTGGGCAACTTTGGAGTCCTCCTTCTGGAAGTAGTGTTTCTACTACTCCAACATCAACACTGATGTCAAGAAGTAGCTGTGCTTCAAACACTGATAGTACTTGTAGCACATTGTCCCTTACCAGTAGTTCTACCATCAAAGCTGGAAACAGTCGAATTTCACAGGGTTCAAATGATGGAAAACGTTGGGTAAAGTGCGACTCTTTTGAAGAGCTTCCATTGAAAAATTCTCCTCCAGAAAAAATTATGCATAAAGTATGTATATCAACTTTTGTTGATAAACATGTACGGACAGCTAGTGTTTATGATGCTGTTACTACACAGAAAATAAATTATCCTAAACCTTCACTTAATATCACAGCATCTAGTACTTCATCTAGTAATATTCAGCCTAATGTTGCCTCTGTTTCATCATCTACTGTAGCGCCAGCAAATGTAAAGACTTCAGATGTGAAACGGACTCCATCTTTAAATGTGTGTATTAATAATTATGCGGGCATATCTCAGAATATATCAAAAGAAATATCATCCTCTCATACAAAACTTGTACACAGTATTGCTCAAAAACCTCCTAGGCATTATACTTCCAATGCTCAAACTCACACGTCTTCACACGGACGGACAGCCACAAGAATTGGAGTATCTTCTCTTAGCAGGGACCAAAGATTACCTCTCACTTTGTTCAATGATCAGCGTATGATGGCTTGTGGCTCAGAGCCAAATCTTTATGTAACTGTTGGTGACCGGTTACCATTGACCATTACAGACAATCCCGTAACTTCAATAAAATCACAGTGGTTACAGAGGAACTTCAATAGTCGTAGTGAAATGAGCCTTAATGTGATTGAACATAATGTACAAAATGGGACTTTTGATTTTCAAAGTCCTAATATAATCAAAAATGATAGTTGTGATTCCAGGAATAGACAGTTGTCTTTGCCTGATGTCTGTAGTGATATCCTCGAAGGAGATGGTGATTTTCCTTGCATTCCACCTCCTCCAGCATACAGAAATGGTGTAGAAGACTGTGTTCCTGTATTATCCAGTAGCTGCTCAGGTCTATTTTCTCAGAATGCTGTGAAGTTATCATATTCTTTGCAGAGTGAAGGGGTAAGTTCATCTATTTATTTATTTTTCAGAACCTAGCAATATTTAATATTTTTTTAGCTTCGAAATTTTTTTTTTTTTTTTCTTGCTAATGCATTTGCATATTTTGCATACCTAAAATAACTGTGTAATCATTTCATAGCAATTTATAGCCTAGTTGGTTTTTATTAAAGGTGTGCTTTGGATAATAGCATTAACTCCTTCTAGACAGCCTACTGCTGAATTGAAAAGCACTTTGGAGATAGGTCATATATATATATATACATCATTCCCACAGAATATATGTCATGTCATTAGCAGCCAAGTAATGCACTGGTGCATTGCCACTTGCATTGATCAACCATATGAGTGTATCATATATGTACTTTCAAACATACACATTTTTAAAAAACTTTTTTGAATCCCTAGATGGAGTTACATGTCTGCTATGGTTACTTTATTTGAATTTGTAAATTGTTGATCTTGTGTCCATAATCATCTCTATTCTGGTTCTTTGAGTGAGAGATATAAAGTAAACAAAACACAACTGAAATGCAGCTGTGGCTTCACGTGCTATGAACATTGAACAGTTTCAGATACTTCCAAATTTTTTGTTTTCTCTGTGGGAAGATTGGGGGTTGAGCTGTGCAGTTTCAAGACTTTGTTTATATTCAGCGTGCATCTTTAGATAGTAGATGTAAGTATTTTGTACCAATTAAGAGAATTAAACTAAGGTTGTGATGTCTGAGAGAGAAGCATTTAGCAGAAGAATATTTGAGTTGTAAATGAGCCCATGAGTGACTATTCTGACAGCAAAAGACTGTAGGTGTAAGTGAGAGTTGCAATTTGGTTCTGAAATTTTGTCAGAGACTGAATTGGAAGCTTGTTTTGCTCCCACCTCACAATCCAGTACAACAGTGGATAATTCATCTTAGGTTTGGTTTGTTAAGGAATCAAAGCTGTATGGATATATAGGAATTACAGGGTAACTTTAATTCAAAGTTATGAGAATAAAATTGATTTTTCACTATTTTTTCTTGATAATAATCTGATGGCCATAGTAGTTGAAGAAACTAATAATTTCTATGGAGGGGAGAAAGATGATGAGTCAAAATCAATCATCTCCAAAATCGACTAAGTTTACTTCTATAAATGTATCTAGAATGAGGGGATTCTTAGGATTAATTATTCTAATGGAAATAATTAAAAAGGCCCAATCACAAAAAGTATTTCCCAGCTAATCAAATGCTGATAACTCCATTCTTCAGTCGAGTGATCCTTTAGCATGATTTTCTGAATGTATTGCAGTTTCTACATTAATTTCTAACACTGAAGAAACAAATTAGCTAAATTGGGATTTTACTGAAGGCTTGCAGAACAAATAAAAAACATTTATACACTTGAATACAGCATATTGTTATAGATTTTGTGTATATGTAATTAACTTTCATGAAATTGTTGTGTTCTTTGTATAATGCAGCATGAAATGCTTGAAAAAGATAAAGCTGTGTTAGAAAAATAAGAATATAAGGGCAAGATCTATTTAACCCTAAGTAATTGGCTATTTGCTAAATTGACAAGATATTACTAAGGTGGTGATGGTTATTTTTGGCGAGTAATTTTTGTCACCATACTTGGTGAGAAATTGCCAAAAGTTGCCAAACTTGGTGACATTTTGGTCAGGTCCCTGTATAACTGTAATTGATCTCTATATGTAACTATTAGTGTAGCCTTTCAGTAATTTAGAGAAATGGAGGAGACTAGAGATTTCTTGGCAGCCGGGGTAACGATGTAAGCGTGAAGAGAGCTGTGCAAGCCTCTGTGTAAACTGTGTAAGCCTGAAGAATGGGAAGCCTGAAGAGAGCATTCTCAGTTTTTCAGTACAAAGTTGATTTTGATGTAGTGAGATATCTCCGTGTTAGCTTCATGCTTTAAATGTGCTTTGCATTGCATTGTGTGTTTAACATTCTTAGTCGTTTGAAGTGCAACTCTTGAAAAGAGCTGTATGAGTATTTTTGTTGAAAGTTCCAGAATTGTAAAATGTTTCTTTTGATAAGATAAATTTTATCGAGCTGTCATCGGTTCAATTTTTATCATTTATCTTGATTTATTTTACCGAGCTGTCATTGCATTCAAGCCATTAACAACCCATGAGTATCTTTTCACATGGGAAGGACATCTTAAATGCCACCAATATTTCCCTTCTAAAAGTCTTTTATATCAACACTTCAAATCAAATTCTGGGTATGTGTAGAATTTTTTAGTTTATTGTGACAAAGACATAGATTTAATGGTGGTTCATCTAACAGCCTAATGGTGGTTCATATGGTGAATGAACAGTGAAAATCCTAATGACATATTTATATGACAAAGGATACAATTTTTATTTAGGTCAGTTTTTTTAAATTCCACATCCCTTGCTGAATATATAAATTCAATCTAAACAAATGTGTGTGGAACTGTTTGTAGAACTAGGAAAGGAATGCCAAAAGGTTGTTCACAAACTAAGTTAAAAAGGGGAGAGCAAGATGCAATTCAGAGAGAAAATATAAACATAATTGCTTTCAAAGGGGTGGGGAAAAAAGACATTTTACTGCTGACTACTTACTATACATGATCTAGATAGAGGGATACCAAATGAAGCGTGAGGAGTTGTCTCTTTTACAGTATTTTAATATATTATCTCAACCTGAGCATCCTTATAAACTCTGTTTACTTGATAATAGCTGCGACCTTTTATTTGAGCCACGTCCATCCTGTGTGCCTTCTTTCGTCCCCTCATTGAAGAATTCTTCCTGTCTGATATGTCCCCACTAGCAGTACAGCATTTTGAAATCCCACCTTGGGAAAATGCACAAATCCAGTTTCTTGATATTTTCCACAGTTACATCAAAACAACTACTAATGAGAACATCTACAGACAAAATTTTTGCTGAGCACAGGCATAGTTACAGGAGTTATGCTTCCATATATACGGATGTATCTAAGTCAGCTTGCCATGTTGGGATGTCATTTATAATTGGTGACCACATGGAAGGCAGACGTTTACACAATGCTTCCTCTGTCTTGTGGATTTTAATTAACAATTTTTTCAGAACATCTTAATATTCTGTATTTCTGATTATATTATTGTTAGTTATGATTAGCAAAAAATCAAAGCAATTGATAAAAAAATTGTTTTTAATGAACTTGTTTAAAAGTTAGGTTTAGCTATTTGAAATATCCCGACCTGTTAGATCATACTACTACAGCATCATTCCATCTCCAAGGTTAGTTGCGCTTAGTGGCATGCTATAGTGCAATATAATTAAATACTGATGTATATGTGTTATACCGTTTTGAAGGAGTTACTACTAAAAAAAATTAATAGTGTGCTAATATGGAATTATACTGAATAATTAATACTGTGAAATGTTGGCATGTTTACAGTAAGAATGGCAATCTTAACAATATATTCAGCTTTTTAAAATCAAAATAAATGCAAAAAAAGAGATCAGGGAGGAGGGGGGAGAAAAATACAAATAAGAATGCATGCAATTATTCCAGTTAATAAAATTCTGCATGTTTTAATCTTGACATCAGAAGTTCATGCTGCTAGAAAACTAATATATGAGCTTTAATCCAGTATCCATTCTGTAAATCTTTCTTTTTGCGACACAATCTTTCATTGCAAAAATTATGGGATTGATTTTCTTTCTTCTCATTTATTCGTAATAATGTCATTGCATACTTGTGAGGTGAAATACTGATTATCACATTTGGGAGTTATGAGTGGCTCAACAGCAACAGAAAAGTAACGTATTCAGTTACAAAAATAAGCTTTTCAAAAGCTATGTTTATAATTTAATAATTATAATTAGGAATTAATTAACATATAAAAATGTGATCATATCATCAGATTAAAGATTTATAATTAAAAAGAAAGATCCACATCAAAGTCATTAGTCTCCTTCCTTCTACTTTCACTTATAAGCATTTTCTGTGTAATTTTCCAGTTTTTGCTGCTATGTTAAGAAAAAAAAATTTATATTCTACGAGATGAAAATATTGTGTAGAAATAATGCTTTCTTAAAACTAGCATGTATGCAATGTTCAAAAGCATTTTTACTTTGTTGTAGGAAGTATCACGGAAAATTTTGGTTATCAGGTTCCAACGGAAATATCCATTTTGACCATTTCTGAATCTATTCTATTAGTTATTTCTGTACATATGGATGGAATAAAGGAGGATTGTAAAATTGATTTTTTTCATGACGTCTGTATGTGTCTCATGTAATTCCAAAATGATTAGCCATACAACTTTGAAATTTTGTATGTGGGACTGTTACAATATTTAGTTGTTCACCTTCCTTTTCTTATTGCAGTCGGCAGCATATATATATATATTACTCTTCTTTACCCAGCTTAGCTTTACCAGCTTTAACTCCTTTCACGGCCTTTATTTTTGCAATCATTAGTCATAGACATATACTTAAAATTATGGAAGTGTTTTAAATGATGAAAATATTCATGTTTTGTCAAATAAAAAAAAATGAACAAATTACAAAATCTAACTTTTAATGAGGTCTCCCAGTACCTATACTTATATTTGGAAAAGTTTTTGTACTCATTATAAAAAAATAAAAATACAAGACGTTTGACTCTGATATGAACAAAAATTGATCAAGATATTTTATTTTCGTAATTTGCAATTTTTTTTTTCAACTTGCCTTGAGGAATCAGTTAATCAAGTTAGAATAATTAAAGGCTATAATTTTAAATGAAGTGCATGAAAAATGTATATAATTTAATAGGCTATACAAGGAAGTCATGGTGTCTACATCAGATTTTTTTTTTAAAGCAGTAGTTTTGCAGATTCATGAATTTGGTTAGAAGGTGTAGTATCATTCTTTTCATTAGTAAAAATGGAAATACCAGTGTATCATTCATTTCATTAATAAAAATTGAAATACCAGTTAATCCTAGTTTTGTAAATGTATACTTTCTTTAAAGTCATACAACACATTTTGGCTTATTTATTAACTCCTCAGTATCAGTATTTTCTGGTACCATTTACTAAAGGAAATAAGCCAAAATTTGTGCTCTGGCTTGATGTTAGGTAAAAAGAACAATTAGGAATAGCGATAAAATCTCTAATTTCATGACAAAATCCTTCAAAAACTTATTATGGAGAAGAACACAGTCTACATTTTTTTTTTCTTTTTGTGAATAGGCTTTTATCAGTTTCCATAATTTTGTATTGGCTGCCAGTTTTAACGTCAGGATAAGATAACATGGAATTAGCACATACTTCTCTCAACTGCTGGGTAGTGATTTAATTTGAAGCAAGTTCAAATATGTCACAGCTAAAACTTATTTGGTTTGCAAAACTTGGTAAACATTAACTCCTGAAACATTATTAAATAAACGAATCTGCAGTAATGTAAGGAATGTTTGATATAACCAACACAAATGTGTTCACACATAGTTTTCTTTCTGGCAAAAACAAGCTGCACAGCCATTTAGGCAATCAAGCCACTTTTTATTTTATTAAATATCTATTCCAATGCAGTCTTTGTCTTTGCAAAAAAGTATCTTCTGATGAGAAAATGTGCCAAAACGAACCCCCCCCCAAAGCGCCAAGCAGTGTAGCTTTGATAGAAAAGTATTGATTACATGCTGTTTTGCTTATCTGTTTGATTAACAAGAAATTTATATTTCCATATGACTGTCTTCCAGATGACTGTGTTCAGAGCTGCTCAAGAAAATTATATTTACTGTAAAATGCTAAAATTTTGTTATTTTGACAAAGAAAAAATTTCCATGTAATTCATTCTTCACCATGATGTGTATTTTAACTATGGCAAAGCACACTAGGGCTATCTGCCTAAGGGGAGGGATGCTTTCGTGGAGGACTTTCTAAGGGAAACTGGCTCGTATACTCATTACACATGGGGAAAACCACGAAAACGCTCGTACGGCCAGTCCATTCACGGGATTCGAACCTCGAACCGAACTAACAGTGTTCAGCGACTTTATCGCTTGGCCACTGGTGGGCTCTTCACCATGAATCAAATCTTATTAGAAATCAAATAAACTCTTGCTTTTGAAGCATGTAACCTTCGGGAGACACAACCAGTGTCTAATTTTCAGTTACTATATTATGTGAATTATGTGCTACTAATTTCTAAATATTGGATCTTATAACAAGTTATGATTTTATCATTAAATAAGGCAAAATTCATACTTGAGAATGGCATTAATTATGAAAAGTGCTGAGCACTGGAGCTGATGTAAGACTTATTTTCTTTAATGAAAATTAATACTGCAAAATGGTTATTTTTTAGATGCTAAGAATAGTTAGGAAATATTAATGCTAATGTGAGATGGAGTTTTATCTAATTTTAATTGTTTGAATTGGTATGCTTCTCTTTTTTCAGATTAGTTACTGTAGTTGAATATTTATGGCATGACATGAAATCATTTTTAACTTATGTTTATTTTATTAAAATTGCTTAATATTAACACATAAAAAGCCGTATTAAAAAAAAAAAAAAAAAAAAAAAAAAAAAAAAAAAAAAAAAAAAAAACAAAAAACATGGAAGTTCAATAAATAAATGCTCCCACTAATGAAATGCATTAATGAATTTGAATATGCTAATCATATTCACAATATATGATGATAAAGTAAAAGATTTTTTGTGTGTTTAAATACCTTCTTTCAATTTTTATAATTTGAGTATATCATATTAAATATTATGAGTATATCATATTAAATATTATAGTTTTATGTTAACTGTGTAAGTATATAAAATGCTGCTTAATTTCTTTAATAGGGTTCAACAAACAGCTCAAACCTACCTTCTTCATCTGTTGCGTTCGAAAATCATAAAGAACTTAAAAATGCTCATTCTACTCCACCAGATGTGTTGGATATCCAGCAGCTGCGGCAGAGGAGCCGTGATTTAGATCTTCCTCTAATTTCAGCCTTGTGCAATGATCGATCTTTACTAATGCTACCTAAAACTGTTCCCACATGTTCCAGACAGAGGCATTTGGGAAATAAAGATCCCATGAGGTTCAGTCGCGCAACATCCTTACCAAATGGTGACATGACAGATAATATGCTTGCTAACACTGGCCGGCCAATTAGCTGGCACATTGACTCTAGCCATGTTCCTCATTGGTCTGAAGTTTCTAAGCCATGCTCTGCTTCTTGGGACAATGCCATTAAGTCACGCTTGCCTCAGATAAATGCAGCATTGAGTGAAAATCCTGCACCATCTCTTCCTCCTACCATACTGACATCATTTGGGAAGACACCTGTGAAACAGGTTAAAAGTGTTCATGACCACAGTAGTGTATCTGATAATTACAGGTACAATAAAAATCAAATGATACCTACAAAGCTTCTTGCAGGACCTTTTGGATGCATTCCCAATGGTAGGCTGTATCAAAAAGGCTCATCATCTTGATCTTTTAGAATGTTGCATGAAAATAATCATGTATATTTGCTCAAATGTATGTTATTGTACATAATGGTAATCACGTGTAAAATTTAAATATTTTTGTGTAAATTTTTAATGCCTATAGAAGAAACCCTTTTAAATGTGTAAAAGTTTTTATTTCTTAATTGGTATAAATTTATGAGTCATTATGCTTTTTTTTTTTTTTTCCAAACTGTACAATAGTTTTAAGAACATCATAAATTTGCTGGTCATTGGAATTGTTTTGAAATTTTTCGCATTCACTTTGTAAAATACTGTATAGCACAAATTAATTTTTTGATAAATCTGTAGGTATATAATATGGAAGGTAGGGTGCTTTATTTTTCAGATTTACTATTTTTCTTATTCATTTTGTAGGTAAACCTAAAATATCGAAAACAAGAACATGGGCATCTCTTAGTAACATTTTAAAAAATGAAAAAAATATCAGTATTTTTCACACCTTTGTTGTTCTAAAAGCATATATTTTCACTAGTTGCTGAAGCATTATAAATCTTGAGTCCTTTCTATCTCTTCAACCAAAACACTTCATTACCTAAATGGTAGAACTGGATTCTGGCTTAGCATCGTTGTTTATGAAGAACGAAAAAAAAAAAAAAAAAATTGGAGGTTAAAATTTTTTAAATTTTAATTTAAATGTTATATAAGAGATTTAATTATTTTATAAAGTCTTAAAAAGTATTTTAACCTTTTAAGTTGGGGTACTTAAACAGTAAAGAAAGCAGAAAAAATGTATAATCTTAATAAGTAGAATTATATTGTTTGCTTTATAGCATAACATGCAATCTCGATTTCCTTTTGGATTAATTATTTTTATGCATGTTTTCCTTGAAATCTGACATAAAACATATGTGTGCTAAAATTTTAAATGTCTTGTGCTGCAGCTATGAGTATTTGATTGTATAATAGTATATATAATTTTATTTTTATATGTTGATATAATGTCAGTCATTGTAAATAATGGTTTTATTAAAACAAAAGACATTTCATTTAAATAAAATATTTATAATGCTGTATGAAATGTGTCTTATTTTAAACATACTTTATGAATTAAGAAAAATTTTTTTGAACTTTTTATATTAGTCTTAAATTTTATCAGTAACCAAAAATATGTTAGTTATTTTAGATTTTTTTTAATTAAAAAATATACACACATAATTTTGCAATAATTCAAATATTTAGTTTTATCTTTAGACTATGAAAATAAACTGAAATACAATCATTGAAAATTTCAGTACTTTTTAATATTATCCACACTCCCACAGGAAAGTTGACAACTCTGAACTGGTGAAAAACATTTCTTTGCTGTAGTTACGGTTACCATGTCTGGCTGATAAATAATAATAAAAATAAGCATTTTATGAACACTAAAATTTGTGAGGGGAAAAAGTGTATGTTTTCTGATTTATAGCTGGTGAATACTGATCAGTTTATTATATAAAACTACCATATCTATGTATACTAAAATGTGTGGTATATGTATGCATGGGTTGGCTACTATTGTATGTACTATAATGAAAGTTATTAAAGAAAGTACACTTATGTGAATAGCAACTATCATTTTATTTGAAAGATTACAGATAATTAACTAATTTTAGGATGCGTACCTTTTTCACATCTTAAAGTAGTGAGGATGTTTCAGTCATGAGGTTATAATTATGGTAGTGTAGCAAAGTTGTTGCTACACTACCATGATGAACGCCCATTTCATCAAACCATGGCTGCTCAAGTCTCAATGTGTGAATGGCGCAGTCATCCTGCTGAAAGAGAAATCAGCCTTTCCCGAAATATTGTAAGAGTCGGGAGAGTAGCATTGTCCAGCATGTCCATATACATCTTAGAATACATATTTCTAAAAACAGGAACTAAAGGACCCAGGCCAAACCATGAAAAACACCCCCACACCATGATGCTGCTACCACCAAACTTTACAGTCGGTACCAATGCAGTCAATTAAGAAGTGCTTGCCGGGCTTTCCCCAAACCCAGATGCATCCATTGGACTGCTAGATTTATTTTTCTGTGTCCACTGTCTAATGTGGCGGTAAACTTTGCACCATTGCATTCAACGATTTGCATTCTGGGGGTGATGTTCGGCTTTTGAGTGGCTGCATGACTATGGAATCCCAGGTTTTTTAACTCTGCACGAACAATCCTGCTGCTGCCACTGATGCCTGATGAACTTTGGAGCTCCTGAATGATTTCAATGAACAAGGACAGTGATTTTGTTTCACTGCCCTTTTTAGAGTTTTACGGTTGTGTTCACTAATTGTATCCAGCTTGCCACATAGTTTTTCTGCAGTTTCACTGCCTTGGCATTTCCACTTCACAACTACAACACTCACAGTGGATTTTGGCTTCTGTAGAATGCCTAAAATTTCATGAACTGGTTTCCCACAAGGTGCCATCTCACCATACGATAGAAGTCACTAAGCTTCTTTGATTTACTCATTGTCTCACGAATGCATAAATATGACCTGACAAAGCACTACCAACACTTTTATAGCTATGCATCAAATTGCGTCAACTGCTAGATCCACTTTAGGGGAATGTGTCCGGATACTTCTGTCCATATAGTGTCTTTGGTTTATGGCAAAGCACATGAGCCATTTGCTGAAGGAAAGAGATGCCTTTCTGAAGACTTTTTAATGGAAATTTGCTTTTATTCATGTTTACACATAAAAGAGAATCGCAAAAATTCTTACTTGGCTAGACTTTTTTGCCAGGTTTTGAACTTGTGTCAAACTTGGGCGTTTACTGTTCTTCCTCTCGGACTGTGATGGTCAGGTCTTAGTGGCAGAGCTCAAATGTCCACCTCAAACTTCATCCATTACCTCAAAAGATTGTTCAGGTAAAAGACCAAATAAAAATTTTCTGAAAGGCATTTGCTTAAAAAGTACCAGTCTCATTGTTAGGTATTGTGCAATTGCTGGATTATTCTCATTATTACTGTTATAGTATAATTACTAGTTGAAGATCGAAAATTGTCTGCAACTTAAACTAATTTTAAGTGTAAAACAGCTTCATCATATATAGTCGGTTTGCATTAGTATGACTTTGTATATATAAAGTTTTGCATTCATTCCTGCAACTAGGGTGACAACCCGTAATCAATACAAACCCTTTCTTAATCCCCCGAGGCTGAACTGGGCACCCGCCACTCATCAGCCCCGAGTATCAGAAACCACCTCAGGAGGGAGGTACACTACAGACACCGATATCAACCTGACAGTCTGACTGGTCGTCGATAATTTCCCCGCCAGGACTACACGGGCTACTTGTCACCGTAGGATATTACCCTAAATACTCGGACCAGCTGAACTACCAGTGGGCCCGGTTCTAGGTCTTGCGCCAATTCCCTGAACATTGAGGTAGGAAGTAAGAGGAGAGGCCCTAACTGGTTTTTTCCATAAGCAGTTGCGCACTCATTGTAGAGACCGAAAAATTCAGTAACTAGCCAGACAATGGGATCAATGGATTTTGACATGATCAGAGGTAAACATTTTGTAATTACTTCGTAAATATACATATAAATTTATACATTTTCTTTTTCTATAATACTCCAGAGTCCTAAGTATGTGAAAAGAACACATTTTTAAACAACATTTCATTCTGAATGGAATTAAATGCTATACTTTTCCCAGAATAATTTGCTCAGAACAGTTTAATTTGAATGAAATATTTTCAAAAGTTTTCGTTAATTACATTAGAAAGAAATTTTTTGGTAATGCGATTTTATTCGGTTAATGAACACAAAATTTAACATTAAAGTTTATTGTACTATTATTATTAAAATTACACATTATTTCTTTTCTGTTTACAGAGCTTCTTCGTTAAGCACTTTTTCAACTATGAGACGATACTTTAGCTTCTGAGGTATCGTTTAAATTAAAAATCAGAATCACTTTATAAATGCTCTGTTTGATTTCTTAGAGCAGCTTTTATTTTAATAGTGAAGTATGTCAAATATTGCTGCTCATTTCCGTGTATTTTCTACGAATATTTCTGAAAGGAAATTAAAAAAAAAAGTTTTATATTTTTAAAAAACGTTTTATTTTTAACATGTAGCTAAGTTATTATAAAATGTAAGGAAATAATCTTTTAATACTTATCCATTTTTTTTACCCTTAATTTCAACAATACATATTCTAAAAATTCTTCTTTACTACTTCCTTAAGTACGCATCTCATAGACGTTGCTTTATAACACCTTTTAACTTGCTTTGCAGTATGAACAATTCTTGTTTAGATAGTATTACAAACATATTTGTGAACAGAATTTCAGTTTATCTTTACATTTAAATGTTAAGGTTATTATACATTAAAGTCATCCCGACGAAAAAAAAGCTACTGGCAGACATACATTTCCTGATTCAAGCATTGCAAGTTACATACTGCTAAATTACATAAAATATTACATTGTACACAAGTACATGCTTCGTTAGACTATTACATTCATTATTCGCAGTGATAATTTCTAGCATTGCAGATTACACACAATTATGTTATATTCAACGTTATATGCTACACAAACTCGTGCTTCTTCAGGCTTTTACATTATTCACAATGATTTTTTATGCTATGCTGTTCGTTTAGCATATTACAGCATTTAATGTTTGAAGGAAGTATATATATATATATTATAACAAACAAAAAAAGGGGGAAGAAGAAGAGGAAAAAATAATGAAAGAGGAAGGGAAAGAGCTTGATTAAATAGTATAATTATCAACAAGAATAGTGAGAAAATAGATATACAGGGTGATTCTAAATTGTTTTTACAAATTAAGAGGGTGATAGTATTCATCCAGATGAACAATAATTACTATGGAACATAGGGTCGCATTCTTCTCTGAGAGGAAGAAAAGAAGAATATTATAATTCCAACCTGAACTTACAACAGTGCTAGAAGAGCGAGTGAATGAGACCAAAAGTTGCGCAATAAGTTTAATGAAAAACTCACAGTGAGTGCACAAAACGGATAAAACCGAAAACTTGGAGTTCGAGTGTTAATTCGAGCTCAGGCTTTGATGGCAAACACTCAAATGCACATCTGCGAATTTTGGAGTTTCAAGACGTTAGAGATGATAGCTTTCCTTTCAACTAAGTCCAAGGGTAGTATTCGGGAGATTACTTCTAAGGCTAGAGTTAGGAAAGTACGATAAGCTATTGTTAGCAGTAGCAGACGTTGAATTGTACTGAGCAGTTTTTCTTTGTTTTGGGGTAAGTTTTTTTCCCTAGATTGAAGTTGCGTACTAGGCGATTCTCCCAGAGATTGTTTTTATTCAGGTTTTAAGACATTCTGCAGGGACTTCCGAGCTTTAGTTGTGCTGTCTTTATTATTGAGTTTTGTAGTTGAGTTATCCTTAATTTAATTTGCCTGAGATGCGGAAGTCACGAAGGTCTATTCTTAATGATAATTCCCAAGTATTTAAGATTGGTTTCAAACTTGATAGATTGGCCCGAAATTATAATACTTGAGTTTCTCTATAGTGCCTTACGTCTGCCAATTAGGAGTGCTTTAGTTTTGGGTGTAGAAATTTGAATTTTATGTCATTTTGCCTAGTTTTGAAAGTTGAAAATGCAGTGCTGGGACTTAGTCTTAACTGATGAGCGTCCTGCGAT